CCCTGGGTCTGCTGGAGACCAGGGAGAGGAACGGCCCCGTTCGTAACTGCGGATCCGACATAAGTCGGATCCGCGTAACTCGGGGACTGCCTGTACAGGATAGTTTCCTTCATACCAGTTACTCAGAAAATTCTAGATCAGGGAAACCTGGAAGTATGAAGCTGCCTGCAGCTTCTCATTTCCCCCTCTTATCTAGGGTTGCCAGGTGTCCCGTTTTGAACCGGACAGTCCAGTGTTTGAGCTTTCTGTTCAGGAAACAAATTAAGAAAATATAAATGTCCAGTATATTCTAAATAAGATGTAATATAGATTGTGGTGTAATGTCAAGTGGGTCCGGTATTTTTGTTGAAACCATCTGGCAACCTTACTCTTATCCTCCACAATCCCTTGAAGTAAAAAGGATCCGAATAGGGCAAAGAGGCCCAGCGAGCTCTCCCTGGAGATTTTGGATGGGGAGGGATGAGTATTAGAGTCACCAATTCTCTCTTTTCCCCTCCCCCATCACTAGGGCTGTGTCTACACTGCACCCCTTTTCCGGAAAAGGGATGCAGATTAGACACTTTGGAATAGCAAAATCCGCGGGGGATTTAAATATCCCCCGTGGTATTTGCATTAACATGGCTGCCGCTTTTTTCCGGCTTGGGGATAAGCCGGAGAAAAGCTCCAGTCTAGACGTGACTCTCCGGAAAATAAACCCTTTTCCGGAGGATCATTTGTTCCTACTTTCCTTTGCTGTGCTCACAAAAGCTCACAATACATGTTTCCAGACCAGACCATTTGTTGTTTTTCTCTTTTCCCCTGCTTTCCCTCCTACAATCTGTCTTTAAACAATGTTACTGGAGCATGGTCTGGAACTAACACAGCCACATATGCAGTTACAAAATGCTAGCAAAGTATAAAATCTCCTTTTTCTGCAAGACATTATTCAAAACGCTCTGGTCTTTTTGTTTGGTTTTCAGTTTGCCCAGTCCATCACTCAGACACATTCTAGGTGGGTTTTTGTTTGTCCAATCTGGAATGACACTGTTGGCTTTGAAGGAATTATACCAGCGTGTTTCTGAAGTAACTCTGAGCAAACCTTCTAAATGCACCTTTATTAATGCCCTGGTATGCATGTTGTTATAGTGGACAAGAAAATTACTTGTGTTCACACATCTGGGATTTGTTTTTGTTTGGGTCTTTAAGTATGTGCCCAGGTCATTCCTGGCATAACAGTTTGCTATGTAATGCAATACCCAGGAGGTAGTCACGACATAGTATTCATATGGAATTTCATCTTTTATTTATTGCTGCTGAAAAGGTGATACACGATAGCTGTTCTAATTTACTATTTAAATGTAATTGAGCCTTAATAAACACGGCGAAAGGAATGGCCTCTAATTCATCTTGATTGCCTAATTTTATTATTTAATTTCCTGTAAACCAAAGCACAAAATGTGGGTTCCACAAAGAATGTAATCTTTTTTTAACTTGAAATATTAGTCATTATTTCATTCTTTTGTTGTGTTATTGCACCACTTGGTACTTTTCACCTATGCAAAGACAACTGGTTTTGTACCTATTTTTGAACATCAGCACAGTTCTGCTTACATGTAATCTTAAGGAAACTGTCCTGTATTGGAGTTCTAGAATATGACAAACCGGGGACATAATTTGAGTGTGTGTCTCACAAGGTTAAACAATTCAGTATTAGTATATTATTATGAAGGCTATTTGGAAGAATGACATGTTCTAGTTTGTGTACCCACTGTTCTAAGAAACTTTGGTAAATTTTAAAAAGAACATTTCCAACATATGGTTAGTTAATTTATGCTTCTGAGTATAAAATACACTAGACACTCCTGTTTAGGTGACAACCACCATGAAATTTTGTTATAATATGTGTCCTAACTATTACCTCACCTTTTTGCATATTTTCTTCCACCCTCTCCCCTTCTTAAGTGATAGGTCATGGTGAAGGCAGACTGCCCTCCATAAAAAATGTGAGACTGTGTCAGGCTTTTTTTTTCTTTCCTCTTGCTTTATACCAGTCATGTGAGGTTTAAGATATTAATAGAAAGAGAACTCAGAAAGCCATCTGTTGCTGTTTAAAGTTAACCTGGAAGATAAATGGAAGAGGAGTCCAGTCACTAGGGGCACTTTGCGGTTCCTAAGTGACAGTCACATGCTGGTAACAGAGCTGAACAAAATGGGAAAATGGTTGTAATAAAACCCCTATGAGCTCATAGCATAGGGCAAGATGCCAACAAATTTTATGGCTCCATTCCTGTTATTCTTATGGCTGGCGAACAGTTCAACTCAAGACTTACTAACTCTCAGCAGTAACCATCTTAGCTATTTGACACAAGGAATTGGAACTTATTTGCACTCATCCTTTTGCCAGCAATGAGATAGCATAACCACTAATGATAAAAAATGAATAGGCTAGCTGTGGTGACAGGTTTCAGAGGTAGCCGTGTTAGTCTGTTTCAGTAAAAACAACAAGGAGTCAGGTGGCACCTTAAAGACTAACAAAAAATGTATGCCATAATAAAATTCTCAGAGGGGTAACCTTGTTAGGCTGTAACTTTAAAAACAATGACTAATCTTGTGGCACCTTAGAGACTGTGTGTGTGTGTGTGTGTGTGTGTATACACACATACATATTTACATCCAACGCAATTTACATCCATAAAATCCAATTCACTCTCACACACACACACACACACATATATAAAAATGAGATTTTGTGGGCAAAACCCACTTCAGTCAAATGAGCTGGAGGGGAATATATAAGGGTATGTGTACACTGCAGTGTTATTTCAAAATACCTTATTTTGAAATAGTTATTTCCAAATAGCTTATTTCAAAATAATGCGTCTACACAAAAAATGCATTTCGAAGTAGCATTTTTCTATTTCGAAATAGTGTGTCCACACTGAGTGGACTCTGAATCGCATTTAAGTTAAGGCTGGCCGGAACCAGTTCCAGCAGGGCACTAGGTCAGGACTTACTGTGTGTGGCTGCTGCCTGAGGCTATCTGAGGTCTGTGCTAAAAGGGACCCCCTCCTCTCCCCGGACAGCCAGTTCTCAGGTTTCCCTGCTTGCTTGTCTACCTCAATGAGGGACAGCAAAGCATTTTGTCTCTGCGTACTCTGGTTGCCCTCATTTGGGACACCACAGCACTCGGCACCATGGAGCCAGAGCTACCCCTGGGCACTCTGGTGCTTCTCTTGGACGCATTGCTGTGAGCCTGGCTGCACTTTCTGCAGGCTGCCATCCGGGAGGTCCATCGGGGGGCTGTCAGTATCCAGGAGGCCCTGTGGGAGAGCTTCCACCCTGAGGAGCACTATGAGCCTCCTTGGTCTGCCCCACTGGGGGCTTGTGCTTCATTCCTCCCTCACTTCCTTCCACTTACCCCTCCCTAACCCCCCTTCCTGATGTCAAATAAAATATACATATTTTCATGAACACAAACTCTCTTTATTTAACAAAACTGGGGGGGAGGGAATGAAACTCTGGTGAGACTGGGGAAAGGAGGTGGGAGAAGTGGGGGGGGAACCTGGGAGGAGGGAGCTGGAAGGGGGAAGCAAGCTCACCTGACCAACTTGATTGTCATGCAAACAGTGTTGGGGGTCTCATCGGGCCAACTTGACTTCCCTGC